GGAGAGATGATAAGTACGGATAAGGAAATTCTTTATTGCCGAGGTTGTGAGAAAACAGTTGGTTGTGAAAAACGCTTTCAAGTGCTTCAGTATTTGAACACTAATATACACAAAGAGAATATTAAAATTAAATCCACGGAAAGTGCTCCTGTGCAAAAATTGATTAGTGAATTTTCTAATAATAGTTTTTCACAGTTTTCCTTTGATTTATGCAAAGTAACAGTAACAGGAAGTTTGTCATGTGATTTGAAGACATTATGTGCACTATAGTGCAGTGGGATTGGGAGTGTGCAATTTATGGAGACTGTTATCATGTGTAAATCAGTGATAGTGCTGTAATTTGAGTGTAATTGAAAGAGGTTGTAACCAAAGTGCCAATAAACCCAATCGTCTGAACTACAACCTGTCATTATCGTCACTAGTACCACTATACATGTGACAATATATATAAATGTTGTACCAGGGATGGTTTGTGAGCCAGGATAGCGCAGTCAGTATAGTGACTGGCTATGGGCTGGACGACCAAGGGTCAGAAGTTCGAGTCCCGGTGGGGTCAGGAATTTTCACTTCTTCATGTTGTTCAAATAAGCTCTGGGGTCCACCCAATCTCCTATACAATGGGTACTGGGGGCTCTTTCTCTGGGGGCAAAGCGGCAAGGGCGTGAAGCTGAACATTCACCTCCAACTTGTGCTGAGGTCAAGAAAACGTGGGTCTATACATCCACTCCCCTATATGCCTTCGTGGCAGTGCTTACTTAGTTAATTACAGAGGACAGTTAAGGATGATTTAAATGTTAAAAGTTTATAAATATGGTGATGGTGCAACATTTAAAATTGCACAGATTGCATATTTAACAGCTGCAATCTGTCATAATGGAAGTTCTACACAGGTGTGTCACTAAACACAGTAATTATGAATTTGTAGCTCATGCTAGCTTCACCATACAGACTGAAGCTCTGCTCAGAAATTCTTATTTTACAAACAGTCATTCTTTTAGAAGTATACACTTGGCAATGGCTACACTGTACATAGTAATACTATATTACATTTTATATACATTTCCTAAAAACCTTAGTTTCACATTTAGCCTTTTGTAAGAATGTTACCATGCTTAGCTAGACACAGAATCAATCAATAAGTACACATGGCTGGAGTCAATGAATATAAGAAAGGTTTCACTCAGGATAGTTCTGGCTCTAGAATGACATGCAGGACACTTTTCAGAAATGTCAGGGTTGCACAGTGGACTAGCAGTGGTATGAATGCTTAGTGTAATGGAAATTCTCCCCCAAAGCCAATGCCAATACCAATATAAAATATAAAATACTTCTGTCTCTCCATTTCCTTCCTCTATTTCTTCATTTCTGATCACAATGCATAAAGTGACCACTATTCAGTAAAATGACAGTAAATAGAAAAGATGTGTCATGTCACATTCTTATGTTTTCAGAGTATGTACTTAATGATAATAAATCAAATGAAAAATTGATGTGATATAACTCTTTACTTCTTAGAATCTGAATTTAATGTTAAATAAGAACAATTCAGTCTTTGTTTCTTGCAGTGCACTAAGATGATAAGTTGGAAGAGGTATCAGAGAAGACTGGAGCAGTTTCATTATTTTACTACACTTTATTTAGGAAGAAACATTGGAAAAGAACAGCTACTTTCAATAATTATTTTTGGTGAACACAAAAATAAGATCGTCATTATAAACTGGCAATTTTATTATTATATAACAGTTCCTTTTAAGAGAAACGTTATAAAAAACAAACATTTTCATTAGTTGTGCTTTATAGAGACTATTATGTCAAGATTTCATACAAAATTTGAAATAACCATCTACTTAACTGCCACAATCAAACAAAAACGTAAATACAAATTTCACACAGCTTTCATGCTGTTATACATTTTTAAAAAATAAAAGAATAACAAGAATTGAATATTCTCCAACCATTTATTAGCGTACAAACTTTCAGGAACCTATACCATTTGGTGATAGTCTTCCTTTCACTGCATACGTTTTCATGATAGCTCTGGTGATATTATAAAGGTAAGAAATCAAAAGAGTATAAAAGTTGGAGTTCAGTGCCATGATCTTCACAGGAAGCTACACGAAAATACAACATTTGTTCCAGTCACTGTACGGGACACAGAAAGGCACAGTAGTACTAAGCCTGGTGAGACACCCACTCACTCACTCACTCACTCACTCACTCACTCACTCACTCACTCACTCACTCATGGAGCTGAGCCCTTCTTGAGAAGCTGCCAATTGTGCAGCTACTCAAGAAATTCCCAGCATCTTATGGAACCCGAAGGTTCATTACCATGTTCACAAGAGCGTTCTACTGATCCCTATCCTGAGCCAGCTCAATCCAATCCATACCATCCCATCCTATTTCTCTAAGATCCATTTAAATATTGTCCACCCACCTACACCTTGGTCTTCCCAGTGGTCTCTTTCCTTCTGGCTCTCCCACCAATATCCTATACACATTCCTCTTCTCCCCCATTCATGCTACAAGCCATTCCTTTCTCATCCTCCTTGACTTATCATTCTAATTATACTTGGAGAAGGGTACAAGTTATGAAGCTCCTCATTATGCAGTTTTCTTCAACCTTCTGTCACCTCATCTCTCTTCGGTTCAAATATTCTCCTCAACACCCTGTTCTCAAACACCCTCAGCTATGTTCCTCCCTTAACGTCAGAGACCAAGTTTCACACCCCTAAAAGAGGCACTACTAACTCTAAATGTCAGATTATCTTTACTGAAACCTGAAAGGCTTAGAACCCAATTGGCAGGTTTCATAATTAGTAGACTTGCAAAAGTTAATAAATTTAGTACCACAGTAAAAATATATATTCAAGGTACTGAGATATGCGGAAAACAAAACCAGACTTCTAACTAATGTTAATAAGAAGGAAGGAGAGTGACAAAGTGTGCACGCTGTTGCCTGGAAGCTGCGTAACTGACTGTCCGAGAGAAGCAGGATTGGAATTGCAGTGGCTGTCTGAAGGTTCCCACAGCCATCAGAGAGTAAAACAGGATCATGAGTCTGGTAGTATGCGGAACAAAGAATCATTGTGCTGGCGAAGGCCAGCAGCAATTTAACAGTCTGTCAGGAGTGTGACTAGAGTGACCGATTGACTGAACTGGTTTGAACTGTTGGTTTGGTGGCCTCTCAAAATGAAACCACTGTGGCAGTTCAGGACTGTCTGGAGCAGCTGATGGGCGAATTGAACAAAGCCCAACATAATAATAAGCGCCAATTATGAAAGGCTTGAGGCCAGATGAAGATCGGTTAAGAAGAAATGAGAACCAACAGACAGAGGCTAAGATTAGGGCCTACCAAGAGACCATGCAGCGCGGATTCCAAACCAGGCTACAAATCGAAGACCGAGTTGAGGGTGGATCTTGGGAGAGAATAAGAACTGGTGTATGTACTGCGCAGCCACGTAAACTCGAACTTGTATCTCGTAAACAAAACAGGAAAGAAGTACTACTTTTAAATTCAATGTTTTTATTGAAGGTCACTAATCATAAATTTGTTTCTACCAAGCAGGGTGGCATAGTATTTCTAGACTTGTATTCAGAAGGTGTCCAGCTCAATGGCACCAGCTCTCCTGTCTGAGGTTCATCATGGTTTTCTTCACACTTCATCACTCATTATAATACTCAAGCCTATGTAGTCATAGATAAACCATATACATATACAGTGTTCCATGTCAAGGTGGCACACTTCAGTCAAATTAGTCCAGTTACTGGCTCTTGATGCTAGTTCTCCTACAGAACATAGTGAAACCCCTGATCAAAGTTTCTTTGGGAATATTAAAATGGACAAAACCTTAAGTGGAGGTAATTTAACAATGAGATTACTGACTTGGGATCCTTCAAATTGAACATTAAATGAGGGAAAACTTAAAACTGAAGAATATTCAATGGGTTTTCACTGTCATTATAACTCATAATCATGAAAGACAATTACAAAAGGTCTTGATCCATTTCTTCACAAGTATACTGCCATGTTATGGAACCAGTGGGCCTAATAAAAATACATTGATTTTGCTCAGTTCAAAGAGCTTATAAAAAGAATGAGCTATCCCTGTGCCTAGGATCGACACCATTAATGCATGTAGGAAGTGTGTAGGTAAAGCTAAATACACTGTAGACCTCGGTGCTGGATTATGAAGAGTGAGCTTCGCATTCCAACCACATTACATCCAGGAAAAGATTGCCTAATACCCATTGGCTAGGAGGCCATATGGGATCCAAAACCACCCTTCTGGGAACTGAGTTTCATTCACTTAATTCAAAGCCAATCACAGACTGAACAACTCCAGTTATATACAAGAGTTTTGATGTATCATTATACAATACAGCAAAACTAAAACTGTCATGAAATTTATTGCTAATTCTCCTTTAACCTAATGCCCTGTAACCTGTGCATTCCCATATCGATTTAAATATGATGCACGGTTGGCAAATAAATGCTCTTTTATTTCAATTTTCTTCTTTTGACTTATAAAGTTTGTGCTATTAGGTGTGAAACATGTCACTTCTGAAACGAATTCAACTATACAATTGAACTCAATGTTCAGAATAAAGCTAATAATAGTCACAGAACAGTGACTGATTTTGCCCATGGTTGTGTAAGACATTTCAGTACATTCCACTATGGAAGACTGCTATGTACAAGTATATTTTCTTACTGCTTTTGGAATTATACAGTATCACTGTAGCTCTGCTTCATGAATAATTGGATTTCCTGAATCGCAATGTTATTGATTTTTCCCATCCAAACTACATGCATATCTACTTTCCAATTCCATAAATAATCAATATATTCTAGATAGCCTAACCAAAAGAACAAAAGACGTCTGTTGCCATGATTCAGCTGCCTGTAAGTAGACCAATATTTACAGTTCTATCATACCCCTCTCCCCATCGGAGTTCAACTCCCATTTATAAATAAGAAGGTAAAAATTCTGTCTTACCTCGGACATCGCCTGGGAAGGACTGAGACAGCATTACCTTGTTATTCTGGAACAAGAAAAAGAAGCATCAATTTTATAGTAGTCAGTAAGCACACAAATTATTCAGTAGTATTTGAACATAAAAGTTGCATTTGAAATTAAACTGTAGGAACTGCACCTGCCAATTCATGATGTACAGAATTGTGGTTTCGTTTTATTTGTCATATATTAAATTTTAATCCACTCTTACTGAGTGAATGATTTGTGGGCACTCTTTCAATGGGTCAGATTATACTGAAAGGCTGAACCAAAAGACTGAACATGAACAGGAGGCATGTCACTTTTTTTTCAAGGTCTTATCCTGGCATTCACCTGGAAAGACTGAGTACTGATTACATAAACTATTTAATTATGCTGTTTCAACTGAAAACGTCATTTAGTACTGAATGATCATGCCAGTTGAGTAGACAAGGGCATTGATGCTTATGCTTATTTATGGAATAACATTGTTTCCATTCCAGTGTAACCTATAAGCACTGACTAATTAATTTAGGATTATATAGATACTGTCTGTAACTGTGTCAGTGCATTACATTAATAAAGAAAAACCTATAAGCACTGGCTAATTAATTTAGGAATTATACAGATACTGTTTATAACTGAGTCAGTGCATTACATTAATAAAGAAATTCAGACTTAAACCACCATTACGGTGTGAATGATTCTTGAGCTACTTAGTGACAGTGAATCGAAACGAATGGTGAGATAAAAAGGGACTTGGGAAGAGATGATCACAGCTTATTTCAAATAACTATGCCCAAGAAATGATGAGGCATGCATGCATGCATGCATATATGAAATCATGCACACATTTGAGTTTTCAAGTTTTACTTGAAAGAAGTACATTACTCTGTAACCAGTCAACTGCTGGGTAGAAGTGAAGCCCTCAACTTGAAAACTGAGTTATGTGTAATTTACTTCATGGTCCTGGCTATCACACATCTCAGGAGGCGGCAGTGGATGAGTAGGGAGCAATGATAAAATGGTGATCAGCAGTTGAAAACTGAAGAAACTTGTAAAGAAATCTGCTTCAATGTCACTCTGTCCACTATGAATCTCACATGTATGAATGTATGAGGGGTAGGCCTTCTCAGCCCTTGCACCGCGACCTACAGTGGTCTCTTGTGCTTTAATGAATCTCACATAGTCAGCTGGGACTGAACCCAGACCTTGGCAGTAAGAAGCCAGCACCTAACTGCCTGAGCTATGCCAGAACTCACAAACGTTTTACTATTTTAAATATAGAAATCCTCTTCCCACTACCTTATGGACAAAATTGTACTGTACTTTTAAATACCATCATATTTGTCAGATGATGTCACTAGCATCTTCCGGATCATTTGCACTTCAAAGCTCTGTGATAGATCTTAGCCACTATTTACAATTCCTATGCTAGTACCTGGCCACCCTACTTGTATGGAACCAAACGTTAATCACTGTATTCACAAAGGCCTGCCACTGGACCCTAATCCCAAGACAATTCACATCGTAAATAAACTGCATTTCTGGATTCCTTTCTTTCACCTCCAAACACATGTTTTGAGTACTGTACTGACTCTTCTGTGATACTTCCTTGCCATTTTTTTATCTTTTGTTATTTAATGGCGCTGTCAGTATCAAGGCTCTATAGTGTTCATCAAAGGGTGATTATATGAAGAATTGGCGGAATGAAAATTGGCAGGGGAACCTGAAGTACCCAGAGAAAATCTGCCTCAATTCCATTCACATGCTGATTTCAAAGTGAAAAATATGAGGGCACATCTGCAGTTTGAAACAAACATAGAAGTCCTGTGAAGTACTTATGTTTACCTTCCTTCAGATATTTCAAGCAGTATAATTAAGAAGAAAGCAGTCTTCTGGGATTTGGCACCGTGTATATATGGTGTTAACCGACGTTTCGGAGGAACGTATCGCCTCCATCTTCAGGGTAGAAGAAAAAATATAAGAAATCTGCAAGCGAAGAGACCGTGAGAACCGGTAAAAGCAGTCTGCTTTTACCGGTTCTCACGGAAGCCTCAAATCTTACATAGTTTAATTAAGCATCAAGATGTATAAATTAATAATTATATAATTTACTGACAAATTCCTGTGCATAATTTCTGCTAGTACTACTATACACGTATACTTTATGTTCAATTTGTAAGTTTCACATCATTGCCAAAGCTTATTAGACGGTAACATATAAAAAAGTTTATTACAGAATGTTTGGAAGTTTAAAGTTTAACTGTATACAATATTTCGCACTTTTCACTATTTATCATTACAAATTGGAAGCTAAAACAGAGTCTGCATAATCACCATTTCTGTTTACACTCTACAAAATAAAATACATTAACCACAATAATGACACTTTCCTTATATGAATAAGGTAAGCAGCATAAAGAGAGTGAAAATAATAGGACACAGACACATCACTTCAAGATCAGTGGCATACCTTTTCACTTGTTTCCTCATCCATTATGGAGATATCAGTGAATGGGGAACGCGCCTCGTCTAATGACGGTTCCATTTTCAAATTCTGCAAAACAGAGAAATTCAACATAACAGTCAAACGTCCTTGGTCATAACTACTCTCCATGTTATGCGTAAGACCACTTCATAAAAAGGCTTTTCTGAAATCCTTATCTGCAGTCCGCCCAGTCTCCTAGAGGGGATCCAACAAGTAAAGGTGACTGAACTGTGAACGTGATTATTCACGCCCATCTAGGGAAGAAGTTAGGAATCAGAGGTGCAAGAAAATCAGGTAACAGTTGATTTTATCATCATAAATAGTATACTGCAAGATGCAGTGGTATCACACAGGTGAAATTCCTGCAACTACTGTTGTCTTAAACTGTTTCAGTTTCAGGAGTTTTATAGCAGTTCATTCTGGCAATCTGGAAATCTCCATGTCCTATGCATGACATCTGAGTTATTTTCAAAGAAAATATTTGAGCCCAACATCAATTTCATCTAGCTTATCTTCAGTGAGCATTCAGAGTTCCAAGACGGTTATTTTGTTCAGCAACAATCCCGTCTGCCTTAATTTATTTGAAACCCTACGAATAAATCTTCTATGTGAAAGTCTCACATTTAAAATTTTATGCCATAATCTTCTCCACACATTTCTTGCAGAACCACTTTTCACACAGGTACTGTACATGAACACTAACTGTTCCAAGGTGTATCTCATACATGTTATTTCAATACAAGTAATAACATGTCTGACTGAAACACCAATCATCCTACACAAAAAGTACAGAAAGCAATGTGGGGCTCAGGAGATACATAAGTGGGCTGGCCCATAATGCGTGGGTTCCTTCATGGTAGCTATCCAATGATCAGCTCGAGTACCTGAAAAAAATCCCTGCATATTACTTGCAAATTGCTGTAAGCATAATGTGGAACTTACTGTTTGAAACATTTGTTACTTGTAATTCTGACCAAATCGTTTTGTGTGGCCATCACACCTTGAACATTGAACTCAAGCCATGAACAATGAAAAGCATTTAGAAACAACTACCCACTCTGCATAACATTTGTAAAGGGTTTATCCAAAAATAAGAATAATCATCAATATCACAGACAAAACAGCCGTTTTGGGGCCATAGCCTTCCTTAGAAGATTCTGCCAGATTAGCAATCAGGTTTCCACTTTTTTTGGATTTTGCAGCAATATATTTTTTACTGAGCAAGATCATCAGCATTGCATAACCTGGAGGACCAGGTCTCTGTATTTCTGTCACCCACTGACAGGGTGGCGCAGTTATACCCCTAGGAACCGGATTCCCTTTTCATCTCATCACCTTCTATGATTCGCAAGGCTATGGTGGAAGCATTCTAATCCACCTCTGAACAGGAACCAAAAATAATCTTTCTACAAAAAAAAATTAGAGATGCTGATCTGAAATGCTCAAGGTAACGTGCATATAGTTACTGCCATTACTGATACAGACAAAGAGATGCAAGTTTCTGTTTGCTGATGACCGTTTTTGACTGTATGAATAATTCACTGCCTGGCTTCATTTACTTTCAATTCTTGTGACAGAATCTAGGCTAAACCTTTAGAACATCAACAGAGTACAGAAATGTGAGATGTCTACTGGTTGGCATTCAAAGTATTGTGGGTCGATCAGAAGATAGAAAACTCTTCCTTAAACTGACAATCACAGACAGTGTTTGGTGTTTGGCTTGACATGAATTCCATGACAGACACAGTCAACCTACGTATTATTAATCATGACTCATCACCTGGCATTTACACTGTTTAGGTGTTGTATCAGTCTTACCTTTTCTGTATCATGCGCAGATCCATTGGAATGGATGCGTTCATTATGACTATCCGGCTGACAGACGAGGGACATGGGCTGAGAGGATTCTGCTTGTCCCTGTGAAACTTGTTGCCCCTGCTGTCCCTGTCCCAGTACTGTGCGCAAAATTGGTGTATCCCTGCTCATCAACAGACCCTGAAGTTTCTTCCGTTTCAATGGGGACATGTCTGCCGTGCCAGCTGCCTCATAGCAACTGTTAAGCATGGCAGCAGCAGCAGCTGCATGAGGATGGCTAGGCGCTGGAACTGGGGATGGATGGTGGGGGAGTGGCAACCCTGGCATGGCCCACATTGGGAGGCTCATTCTTGAGCTCCCACGCTCCATCACAGGAGACTTTCCATAAAGATTATACGGGTTCTTTTCAAATGGAGGACCTGGCATGCCTGATGAGTGGGGTGGTGAAATATTGCTGCTACTGTGTGGAAGAGGGGACATATTTGCTGTGGAGGTACTAATGCTAGGAGGAGAGTGGGCAGAAGAGGGGTCATCATCTCTGTGTCTTTCAAGTTGATGCTGATGTTGCTGTTGGTGAGATTGCAGATGTTGGTCAGCAGGATCTTTGGGAGGATTCGTGTGAGACAGGGGCCCTGTCTCCTCCACAAGACCTTTAACTTTCAGTGCTTCAGCAACCTTGAGCAATGCAGCCAACTGGTCCTGAGCAACGTTCACCTCTCCGCGATACATGTACTCAAGGATCGCCTTCATCTCAGAATATTTTACATCTTTGAGCACTACAACAGGATGCCTACATGGGAGCTCTGTGAAAAGGGACTGGAAATAGGATGAGCATGCTGCCAATACCATCTTGTGGCACTTGACAGAAGTACCACCCTCACAAGCCAGTGTCACATCTGTAAATGCTTCATTGCGGAGGAGCTCGTCAAACACAGCAAGCAAATTGGATCGATGGTTGTTCCACCTCAGACAATACTGCTGTGTTGCACTCCCCATCTTGTTGCTGGTGAAAGGAGCCGTGCCGAACTGGCTGGATTTCCTTCAGAAATGATCCACTGCTGTTATGTCAGCAGTGTGTCGCAATTCAGCAACACGATGTTGAAGCAGATGTGTCTGCAGATAAGGCAAAACATTCAAATTTAATATAAGTGATGCTCATTAATCCTCTGAATTATCACATACTGACATTTCCACAGTTTCACTGTCTTTATATTGGTAGTTTCTTTGTTTTCATTTTGTTCAGAGGGAGGAAAGTTGTGAGCATTTTTATCTTCTGTATAAAAAGGAAGTTCATGAAAAATATCAACACTGTCAAGAAAAACTGGTAAAACGCCAAATTATGTGGTCAGTACGTACAGAAATAAATCGAATAAATGGCAGGCAAACAATGAATGAGACTTAAAACTGGCAAGAATATATTCTGAAGATAAACTGTGATTTTAACCGTCTCGCAACAAATTGAGCAGTTTCATTTCAGAATAGCTGTTATGCTCATTAAATGCTTTGCAGCATTAACTGGTTTGCTTTAACATGCAGTTTTAAAGATGAAAGCTACATATAAGCAAAGCCAAAGATAGAAAGCCATACCATTCATTTTATTTTCTGGTTGCAAAATATGAAGCTTCTGTTCCTTTCGCTTATTTACTTTGTGAATGGGTTCACTTATAGCACTTATGAATGTTTTAAGAAGAATGTTATCCAACAATTTATCGCGATTCCCTTACTTCGTGTGCAGTTCACTACTGTGGAAAACACAAAGTCAAGTATGGAAAACTACTGGTGACTGTCATGATGAAATGACAAAATGTTATTTTCTTGCTACTACGAGACTGTTAGCTCTTTGTGAGGACACTTGAAATATGGACATTTTCTAACAGCAAACGTTATTCCGAAAACAATTCCTAAACATTATACCAAAGTATATGAGTTGTGTGTTTGCTGTCAGCTGACATTTCAATGTGTCTCGATGTTACAGTTCTTCCATTTCTTAAAACTGTGGCTCATAGCCTTTTGCTTCCCACAACATGAAGATGTTTCTGTTTTTAATTCTAATACAGTGTGCCTTATGAGATGCTTCTGGGAAGGATCAAAGATCATATAATGAACCAGTGTGGGAAATTTGGAAATTAAAAGCATAATTTGAGCTATAAATTTACATGCTCATATAAATAAGCCCATGATCCATGCCATGATAGGTTTTCCCCGGTGGATAAACATGATAGATAATATGTATTGGTGAAGTTACCCTAGCGACTAAGCCTCATTTTATTCACAATGTATAAGCCACAAGTAAATTTTCCCTCTGTGTAAGCCACTTACTATTCATGAAGTGGAAGGTAAAGGTAACATTCTGTTGTGCCTAGGCCCCAAAAGTCATCATACTGAGATGTGGAGTTCTAATGGGAGCAACTATAAAGACTGCTATTTTCTGGAACGTAACACTGTGTAGTCTGGTAGATGTTTGCCGATATTTTACAAGAACACACAGTACACTTCCAACTTCAGTGACCTGATACTGTGAACATGCAGGCAGCACATTCATCCAAAAGGTCGGTAAATACCTAGAAGACTTCCTGACGTCACATTCCAGGAGAGCTCTATCATCATCTGCAAGTGCCAGTTTTACTAGTCTGTTCTGACTTCAAGGTTTATATTGGAATTAGGCCATTAATTTTTGTATGGTACAACTCTTCTTATTCTGTCTTTTCATGTACACTGGTTAAATCATTTAGCAAATCTGTTTTTTTTCATTCTTTCAGATTTTTGGAATCAATTTATTTTATATTCATCTATTTTGTCTGAGTTGTTACATTTTGGTTCTTGTCTGAGTGTTTGATTGCTGACATGGCCTGTTCTCCTATAGCCTGAAGCAGTCCTCTGGAACTTCATTTCAGTTAGGGTTGGCACTCCGGCCCACATAGCAGTGTGGCTACAGCCATTATTTTATACAATTTTAGCAGACTCGCTGTTCTTGCTTTGTCACCTAGCAATCTTTAAATTTTGTCACATACATAATGGGAATTACTTAATTTCATGTTAAAAGTGCTAATATGGTTAAGTATTTAAACATACTGACTTGTTTAACTGGTCTGTCATTTATCGCAGTTTTTGCCATTATTGGTTACCTTGGAATGCCAGAATTTTGTCTCTGCAGCTGATATTTTCCTGCTCTATTTCCCCCACGATTTTGAACAACTCAAATTTGCCTTTTTGTAAACCAACTTCACATATTGTTTTTGCCTTGTCATACATAAATAAAAAAGCTGCCATTAAAGGAGACCCTTATAACATTGCAGTCATTTTCTAACACATTTTGGCAATGTTTTGGTACGTCATCAACATAAATACGAGTACTTAAAAGTGTGGGTGACAAAGTTCACCCATGTTTTACGCGTTGGTAGCTACTGAGCTTCTGCAACTAATTTTTCGTTTTCATTTGTGTTGTGGTACCTATACCTATTCACAAGCTTTACACTCTTATACGGTGCTTTGGAATGGAGAGCTGTCCATTATCTGTCACAGCGTATTTTGATTAACTCTTGTGAAAGATTTTTGTAAAATCAATTAATAGTCATGAAGGTTGACACATTAAGCTGTCCATATTTTTAAATCATCTGTGTCTTAGTAAAAGCACAAACTATAAATGGAAGAATGGTATTTAATTGCTCCAACAAAATGTACAGTAACATATTAACAAAACCTGCTCTTCAGTAAAAGCTGGTGAAGACTAGTGACGGCTTCGAAATCTGGAAACGCTATGGAAGGCAGCACTTGTGCTATCTTCATCATAAACGAGAGCCAGAGGTAGATGTGGGAAGGAAAGGGGAGGATATAGTATCACATAATGAGCTACATTTTTATTTCCTTGGCACTACAGCCCCAGTGGGCCCAGGCCTACCTCCATGAACTTCTCCGTTCACTTCGGTTTTTCTAGATCTAACACATTCGGTAGGACTCCTTGGGCAGGTGATCAGCTCATCACAAGGTCTCTACCTGTACACAAATACAGAAAAACGCACACACACACACAAACTAAACATCCATGCCCTGAGTGGGATTCGAACCCACGATCCCGGTTTCCAAGCGAACGAAGACAGTACATGCCTTACACCGCTCGGCTACCATGGCCGGCGAGCTACAACATTAACCTGCCGAAATTTGAATTAGCAATCATGACCTCTAAAAGGATTATAGTTCTTCCAGCCCAAAATGTGGACACTTTCCTGACATATACCTTAACTCCAATTCTTGCCATTTCTCAAGTGATTAACGCCCTAATAACAATAATTGTGTTGTTGAAACTAGGGATGGTACGTCCTCAGGTTGCAGACGGAGGAAACAAATTTCTACATATGGAGGGTAGCTGCAAATATAGGACGAAAAGAAATTTGCGCATAAGCTCTATATAGTGTGATAAAACGTAAAGGTGTTCCTGTGCTTAACTAATTAAGCACTACGCCACGAAGGCGTGTGGGGGAGTGGATGTATAGAACCACACCTTCTTCACCTCGGCACTAGTTCGAGGTGAGTGGTCAGCTTCACGCCCCGGCCGTTTTACCCCCGGAGAAAGAGTCCACGGTACCCATTGCATAGGAGGCTGGGTGGGACCCAGAGCCGGTCTGGATGACGTTCAGAAAAGAAGATTCTGACCTTACCGGGTCTCGAACTCCGACCCCTAGGTCGTTCAGCCAGTAGCCAGTCGCTTTACCGACTGCACTATTCCGGCTCCTGTGATATCTTGTTTAAATACAACTCGAAGATATTGCGCAACATATGTCCTATGACGTTTAGTTTTCAACATACATGTCACCGACAAGTGGTGCAAGGTAACAAACGATCAAACCATTGGCGCCTCTACGTTACAGCAGATATTCAAAGCGGTCTCCGTCATCTCAAGGCAGATGGCAGCGCGCTGCAACATGTTGGCATCAGCTGTTGTCATATCTGCTTAAGTCTTGCCAGGGAGGGACTGCATACACGCGATCCTTCAGAAATCCACCGGAGTTAGATCCAGCGAGCGAGGAGGCCATCCAATAGGCCCTCGGTGTCCAATCCACCTTCCCGGATAAGTAGGTTCAACCACACCCGGCCATCTTCCCCACATTATGAAGGAGTTCCATCGTGCGCACACCACACCGTCGGCCTCACAGATAGGGGCGCGTCTTCAAGCATCCCCGGTAGAAGAGTTTCCAGCAAATCACTATGTTGTTGAGCAGTCAGCTTATCACGTGTCAGATCGGTAACCACGACAATGTCCCAATCGATTACAGCCCAAACACTGACGCTGAAGTGGTAACCATACTCACGTTTGCCCATAATTTGAAGGTTATCCATTGTCCAGAGGTGAGTGTTGTGGGCGTTGAACTCATCCTGACGCGTAAAACATGCTTCGTCTGTCATCGCAGTGCGCTGATGTCGCAGCCATTCGCAAAACTGTGTCCATAGAGCCGATCATCTGGAAAGAGATAGGCGCTCTACGAGCAGTGATGTGGATGCAACTGATCGTCACGCAGTACTTCGAGGTCCTGGGTTGGGGTAGTCCCGATTCTCGTGCGATATCGCGTGAGTTGCTCCACGGCTCTCGTTCCACAGCTGTAATTATGGCATCTTCACTGGCTGGTGTCCGTACAATCCGTGGGCGACCTGCGTGCACAAGTGCCCTAGGTGCTACACTTTCTGCCTCACGGAGACGCTGCTCCAATCGCTGAACCTGCAGCAACGCAGCGGGTATTCCCATGCAGCAGTACAAGCCGGACTATTACAGGTACCGAAGGTTAAAGGTTCGGCCACACAGACTTTCGTACGCTATGTACGCTGTGTTCCCTACGTTAGCTGCGTCGCAGAGTGTACACAGCGTACGTAGCGAACATGGCGTAGCGCTCTGTGTTGGCCGAACCTTAAGAGCATGTCGCAGTATTTCCCGTATAGTATGTATTCTATGACAATGATATCAGAATTGACCCCAGCTATGCTCTGTGTGTGTTAGTCCACTATGTATCGTCATGAAAAAATAAACGCTGCTGGGAAGTATGTTAGCCCATCTGATGGTGACTTATATCTCGTAACCCAAGCGTCTTAGGACATAAGCTGTATTACATTTTCTACTTTTTTAA